TCAAGAGCACAGGGAAAGGAAACTGGAGAGAAATGAGGAAGGGAAAAAACTGGGGGCGAAAGAACCAAACAAATTGGGGTCAGGCATTACAATCAATAATTGTTGAACTTCATGTTGAGTCTAGAACCTTGTGAAGTGTTTGATTGAAAGATTAGATGCTCTTCTTCATGCTTGAGTTTCATTACAACACAACACATGGGTAAGATAGAAATATCAGCATGAGTGTGAAGTGACAACTTAAAGTAACAAGCATCAATGGGCTCAGGGTTGTACTTGTAGACTGAAAAAGAGGACTTCGAGCAGAGTTGTGCAACAAAGTAGGCATCCAGTCTGCGTTTAAGCTGTTGAGTGTAGAGTAGACGATATTATGGACAGTAACTACAATACGTTAAATTTAAAAAAAGCAGAAGGAAACCACTGTTTCACCCCAAAGATGCATTTCAGGCCTTCGTGTGAACATCACAGGTGAGGTGACTATTTTTAGCCCACTCCTTACATACTCTTGAGAAGTCTCTGTTATTACTTGCTGCTGGCTGGTTAGTTCAGATGGTTAGAGTGTGGTGCTACTAATAACAAGGTCATTGGTTCTAATCCCCATTTCCGTCCAAAGAATATGAATGAAGAGCAACCTAGCATTGTGCTGAGCTCGGTTATCAAGGTGGGTGGGTAAGCGAGTGAAGCTGAGGGTTTTACTAAGGTCAGATTTTTCCAGGTTGGTCCTCTTGCCTCAACTTCACGTTCTTCCCTGCCTTGTTTGACAAGGTACATCAAGCTTTTCTGTTCTATTCCACACACTTGTGCACTTACCCATTCCCTCCCAGAGCCATGATAGAGTACATCTTTGGTCCCAGTAGCCTCCGCATTTGACAGATCAGTCTCTGCCTTGATGCCGCCTCTAGAATGATCCCATTACCAAATTCAGTTCCAGCTCAATTCCCTTTCAGCATTCACTCTGCAATGCCGTGGTTCGGTCCGCAGTCCGTCCCAACCCCTCTTTCCTATTTATAAAGTAAGTATTTATTCAGGAAATGCAAATCTTGCCCTTTTACCTCCTTCCATTTCTTGGTTTAAGAAACAAAATGCTCTTTTCAGATGAAAGAGTGATTACCTGTTCATTTTTCAATTTACTACACTGTATTCGTTACTACCATCTAATACTTACATTGAGGAGACCAAATTTTACCAGTTTTCATACTCCTCAACTCTCCCACTCTCACCTTTTGCCTGGCCTCTTGCAGTGCTCTAATCAAAGCTTGAGGAAAGGCACTCCACCTTTTGGCTTCTCGCTTTACAACCTCTGGACTCATCATTAATTTCAACAATTTTAGATGGTAACCTATGCCCCCATTTTGTTTTACTTTCTTCACTAGTTTGTTCTTTTTCTTATCTCCATCTGCTTTGTTTTCAGATGCCAATTATTTATCATCTTGCTGTTCATATCAACTCTTGACACATCTTTTGTTCCTTAGTTTGTTTCATTACTACAATTCTATTTGGATCATCCACCCTTGTATCATCTAATCTCTGCTATCCTCTCTTTTTCATATCCGTTTGCTGGCATTACCTTTCTGCTTTGGCTTGCTCATAACCTAATACACTTCTGACTCTGACCAATTCTGATGTAAAATTACAAACCTAAAATGTTAACTGTTTCTTTCTCCACATATGCTGCTAAACCTGCTTTATCATTGCTTTTTTCAGCGTCTAAATAGCTGGACGTATCATTTGAAGTTGTGCATTGTTAAAATGTTCAGTAACCCAAAACTGACACTGAAACTGATAAATGGGTAACACAGCATTACATTTGGAAATATTAGTCATTGTTTGATTAAATTTGTTAAGTCTAAATTACATTAAGCTATTGACTGTAGAACCCTTGGAGTGTTATTTTGGATTACTAAGTACGCTGGTCAGGGTTTTGTTTTCACCTTACCTGCAATATTTTATTTTATTTAAGATGTACAACTTAAGTTTGAAGTTAGTACATTTTAAGGTAAAAGTATGTTTTTCTGTGTAGAATTCACTATGTTTTTTCGTTTATATGCTAAGTTGAAGAATGTAATAATCCATTTAGTGTTGGTTTGTGTGGTACAGATAGACTCATGACATTTAACTCATAACATTAGAAAGTTACAGAATTGTGATAATTTAGTGCAAAATTAGCTTCCTTTAAAAGTAAATTGATCCTATAAATGCTTGCTGTAATATACGTAAAAAGACTTAAGTGCAGAAATATTCAATTTCAAATAACTATGGATCTCTCTTGAGTGCATTCTGTCTTCTGTCTTTTGCATTTTCTAATTTTAATTCACTTCAATTGAATGTTCCTATTATAGACCCCGTCAGCAGGAAATACACTCCAGAAACACAAATCATCTTCATCATTCACACCATTTATAGATCCCCGATTATTGCAAATATCCCCATCTAGTGGGACCACTATATCTTCAATGGGTAAGTGATAAAATGCAGTGCATTTGCCATGATATAGAAGATTATAGTGACTGTAATTTACTTTGTAAAGGAAATGCAATTAGAAGGATCTGCTGCAGTATTCATCTTAAAACTTCAGAAACGTACTCCCATTGTTCTCAAGAGGGTTTGGGCATGTAAGAGAAGTCTTGGATTTAATAATATGAATTAGAGGGAGTGAAAAAGGCAAAGACATTATCTTTAAACTGCTCTGGTGAAAAGGGTGGACAGTGTCTGAATGGACATCTCCTATCTGTAATCGATCACCTTTCAATGCCCAAACAATAAGAAAGCCAAAGAACTGCAGATGCTGGAAATCAGAAACAAAAACAAAAATTGCAAGAAAATCTCAGCAAGTCTGGCAGCATCTGTGGAAAGAAAGCAGAGTTAACGTTTTGGGTCCAGTGACCATTCATTCTGGAGAAGGGTGTGTTTGTGCACAGCTGCTACAGGGATCTGTAATCCACGCCCTGTTGTCCATTTGCAGCAATGACGTCCAGTTCTGGAAGACCTTATCATGTATGAACCTCTGAGATTCAGAGGAAAAAAAGATTTGAGAGAACGCTGCTTGAGTGTATATGTTCTTTCTGTCTGCAAAGAAACAGGCCTCTGTGTGTTAATGTATGTAACTTCCAAATACACACAAGTGTGCCACACTGTGAGCCTGATTGATGATTCTAAATTGGTTGTAAGTGCAATTCTATTCACACTTAGGATTTTTTTAGCAAATTTTGTCCAAACGCTCCACATAACTGAAATCTGTCATCCTTGGTATCTTCCTAGTAAGGCTCTTCTGTATGTCTCCAAGACGTGACATCCTTTCTACTGGAGCTGAGGCTGTGCAAAGAATTTGTAGAAGTTTAGCACTTTTTTTCCATGTCATTGTCTACCAAATCATACATACTCTGCATTTCCTTAAATGTCCTATCAGCGTGAATCACCTTTAAAGTGAATATATACGCCCAGGTCAAAATTCTTCCCTCAATTAGGGGGAGGAAATGACCTAGTGGTATTATCGCTGGACTGTTAATCCAGAGACCCCAGTAATGTTCTGGGGACCCGGGTTCAAATCCCGCCACAGCAGATGGTGGAATTTGAATTCAATTAATATCTGAAATTAAGAGTGTAATGATGGCCACGAATCCATTGTTGATTGTCGGAAAAACCCATCTGGTTCACTAATGTCCTTGAGGGAAGGAAACTGCCATCCTTATCTGGTCTGGCCTACATGTGACTCCAGACCACAGCAATGTGATTGACTCTGAACTGCCCTCTGGGCAATTAGGGATGGGCAATAAATGCTGCCTAGCCAGCGACGTCCTCCTCCCGTTAACGAATAAAGAAACAAAAAATTCTGAATAGACTAAAAGTGGCCTGGCATAGAAAACTTTGAAGTACTGTTCCCAAAGTGTTTGCACCTCAAGAAAGTATCTCATTGTTTCCAACATTCAGCCTTCAACTGTCTTTAGTCACTTGACCACATTCCCATTGATTTCATTGCCATCATGTCTGGTATAGGTCTCTCGTACAGAAGCTATCAACTGCTTTTTGAAGATCCATATAAAATGCTTTTTCTTTCTATTAATTCGACAAGTTATACAATGCTGATCAAGCATGAGTTGGTCTTTGAGAAATCAATGCTGATTTTCTGAACTCCTGTTTCTCCCAAGTGCTGAATAATTTGAATGATACAGTATTATAAATTCAGTAGTTTATCAATGGAATTATGCCTATCTATCGAATAATTTTCATGCCTTTCTGCCTTTGTTACAAGGGGCTGATACTTACTAATCTCCAGTTCCCTAAGATTATAGAAAATTGTAATTTAAACCTTTGATTTCTTCACGAGATTTTCTCTCGATACTTGCATGTTAGCCATCAGGCTTCTTTGTTAATCTATCTGATTTGATTGCTGTTGCTAGGATTAGATAGTCATGGAACAAGAAAATTTAATTTGAAACTGTTTTTTCTTTTGAGTTGTAAAGGTAAGCTTACAATTTGAGGGGCTCAATTTTATTCAAAGAATAAATGCTCCAATTCTTTCAAATCCACCTGTTATGATTTCAGCATCTATTATCATAGAAAACAGTTTTCTGAATGCCATTTTGTTCCATGCCAAAATCCTCCTTTAGGATTCGGCTATATAACTTAAATATCAGCTATATAACTATTGCTTATTCAAGTCTATGTTTGTGCAATGGTTTGCCTATTGGATTTAGACTGCGTAGATACTTAAGGTGCAGACTGTTCTCATCTTCATCTGTAGAATAAGACCATAACAAGTAAAATCATTCAGGTCATTGACCTGTGCTGCTATTCAGTAAGATAATGGGTAATCTGATTCTAGCCTTAACTCTATTTTCCTGTCTGCCTCCATAACTTCTAAGTCTCAGTTAAATCAAAAAACCTGTCTAACTCAGCCTTCAATATATCTAACAACACAACTTCTAGCACTGTCTGGGGCAGAGAATTCCAAAGACTAGCAGCCCTTGGGAGAAGAAATTCCTCATTGTCTCCTTCATAATCAGCAGATTGTTTTTAGTTTTAACTTGTGACCCCTAGTTCGAGTTTACCTCCCAAGAGTCTTTGTGAAGTAATCTTAATGAAATACGATTCTAAAATCAATTGAGTATAAGCCCATCCTATTCAACTTCCTGTATCAAACATCTTCATCCCAAGAATCACTCTAGTGAATCTTCATTAAAGTGCTTCCAATACAAGTATATCCCTTGTTAAAACCTAAAACTCGAGAGTTCTCTAGGTGTGATCTCACCAATGGTACAGTTGTAGCCAGACTTCCCTCCTCTATCACACGCTCCCTTCTGCAATAAAAGCTAAATTTCGATTTGCCTTCCTAAGTATATGCTGTAGCTGCATGTTAATCATATATGAGGATACCCAGATCCTACTGTACTAAAGAATTCTGCTGTCCTTCCATTTAAATGATATTGTATTTATACTTGCCAAAATGGATAACTTCATATTTCTCATTTGAACTCCATCTGCCAAATTGTTGCCTGCTCATTTAACCTATTTGTTTTCCTTGGAAACTTTTTGTATCATCACAACTTGCTTTCTTGCCTATCTTTGTATCATTAGAAATTTTAACTGCAATACATTCAGTCCTTTCATCGAAGTAAGTAAAATATGTCATAAGTGGTTGAGGCCCTAGCACTGATCCTCTGGCACTCCACTTAATATAGTTTTCCAACCTGGGTTGATCTATTTATCCCTATTCTGTTTCCTGTTGGTCAATTGGTCTATTGTCCATGCTAATATATCACCCAAATGCGATGAGCCCTTATTTTGTGCAGTAATCTTTTGATACGGCACCTTAGCAAAATTTTTGTTTGGAAATTCAATTCTATCCCACAACTGCTGGTATGCATTTCAGCCCCTTGCTTATTACATCGTTAGAGAATTCTAATACATCTGTGGCACACCATTTCCTTTTCATCAAGCCATGTCGACTCTGCTTGATTGCATAATGATTTTCTAAATATCTTGCCATTTTTTAATAATGGATTCCAAGATTTTCTGTGAATTGGGATAACATGCCTGTAATTTCTTGCATTCCTCTCTTCTCTGTCTTAAATAGGGGAGTTACATTTGCAGTTCTCCAATCTATTGGGACCTTCCTAAAGTTGAGTGAATTTTGGAAGATTGCAACCAAATGCATTTATTATCTCTATCACCACTTCCTTTATTACCTTAGAATGCAGAATGTCAGATCCATTTGGCTAACCGGCAGTTAGTCCCATTCAATTTCAGTGTTTTTGTCTCTAGTGCTTGTGAGTATTTTAAGATGACTCTTCCCTATTGCCTCTTGATCAACCTGGATATATTCTCTTAAGATACCTGACAATTTTCTAAAACTTTTCATTCAAATCTAATGGATCTTAATTTTTAGCACTTTATTAATGAAAAAAAAAATGCCTCTACTGTTTGTCATACTTAACTAATTAGATTGTCTTATTCATCCTTCCCTGGCTATCACTATCCCATAACTTCCATCTGTTCCTTGCCATTCCCAACTATCACATTAATCCCATCGCAAGCAGCATAAAAAAAGTCTACAAAAGACCCTGAGGTCATAAAATGACCCTTCTGTCCTCCAAAAGAATTTTCAAATGGGCATGTTACCTGTAGCCTCAATTGATCACAGTGGCTTCTGATGTGTGTAAGGAGCATTATGTTGGAGGCAGCTAATTTATCCAGTATCAATGCTAGTGAATTGGCAGCCTGGAGAGTGCACATTCACGTGTCCAGTGTATTATGTAATATCTTAAAATTAATTCTGTTGTTTATCGAGCTAATTCAAAGACCAAGTATGCAATAACTAAATATTTGCTTGCAGAACTGCCATGTTTTATCCCTACCTTAAAATTGGTTAAGGAAAGAGAAAACTCCTATGGCCCTTTTAATCAACTGTTGGTATCATTTTCTTTGAACTGAAATGGTCCACTTATAGAAGGCAGAATGGCAACCCAGCTGAGAATCTCCGCAACAACCTAACAAATAAATTTGGTAGACAACCTCTTGTGATTTGAACACTCGGCTGAACACTTTCTATTGGTCTGGCAGCATTAAAGATACGAAAAACTAAGATCAAAAATAGTGTTAAAAAAACAGAAAATGCTTAAAGCTCAGGTCTGGCAGCATCTATGGAGAGAGAAACAGAGGTATAAACGAGTCTTGGGAAATGTTATTAAAATGTGAAAGATTGTGTTATATAGTTTAAATTTTTCAGAATTATTAATGGAAGAGGTATGGACAGACAACAATATTGAACTGATTTGTAACTCTGACATTTGTCTTTTGTAGTTGTTTTCTCTAATGACCAGATTAGACCAGAGTCAGTGAAGCAAGATCCAAGCAGAAAAGGATCTGTTGTCAATGTAAATCCAACCAACATCAGGCCACAGAGTGACACACCAGAAATCCGGAAGTACAAGAAGAGATTCAACTCTGAAATCCTTTGCGCTGCATTGTGGGGCAAGTTCTTTTCTTTAATCTGTCAAAGAGTTCTTGTACATTGAAGTGTGGAAATTTGAATATACTATAAGATTGAGTGTGGAGGTTGAAGTACACATTTTCCATCAAGCTAGGCTTTTTATTTTAGTTGAGAAAGAGTTTAGACCTCCTGTACAACTGCAAATGCTGTGTTACTACTGAGCAGTTTAGTTTTGGGCCAATCAAAGAAGTTGTAGAACAAATGTGGACATTGAGTCTGATCTTACACTCAAATGGAACAGAAAGAAATGCACTACATTCATTCAATGCTGACTTTAGATTTGCACTAACTAGTTGTCACAAAGCAAAACTGCTCTTTACTGGTGCTAGACTGTTAATGTAAGTAAAAACTGAAAGAACTGCGGATGCTGTAATTTAGAACAAAAACAGAAGTTGCTGGAAAAGATCAGTAGGTCTGGCAGCATCTGTGAAGAAAAATCAGAGTTAACATTTCAGGTCTGCTGACCCTTCCTCAGATGTTGCCAGACCTGCTGAGCTTCGCCAGCAACTTCTGTTTTTGTTAATGTAAGTACTCCATTACTAAATGAACAGGATGTTTACATCTTGCTGTTTTTGTTTTTTTCAGGTGTGAATTTATTAGTGGGTACTGAAAGTGGCCTGATGCTGCTGGACAGGAGTGGTCAAGGAAAGGTGTATCCCCTGATTAATCGCAGACGTTTTCAGCAAATGGATGTACTTGAGGGATTGAATGTTCTGGTGACAATATCGGGTTAGTGCACTTTTGCATCTAGAAATATTAAACTCCTGTCGTGGTAAGTTATGTTTTGTGACAGAGTTTCTAAATGAATGCAGAAAAGTAGCTTCATGCTTTTGGCAGGTGATTGCATGCAACTAGAATGGGCAGTTGACCATTTAAAATTGGGTAGTCCAATTCAATTAAAATTCATTTGTAATGACAAATTAACATGCATTATTTGAGTCAAAAGCTTTCAACATACAAAAGAGGAGTATGCCATGCGGCTTCTCTGATCTGCTCCTAGTGCTGTCCAGGGTAGAAAGTTCAAAAGACTAACATTCCTCCTCAACTCCCATCTTAAATAATACACCCCTTAATCTTAAATAATGCACTTTAATTCTAAATTCCCCAATCAGTGTATCTTAGCTCTGCACTAACACAGTTAAACTCTTTCAGAATCTTTGATGTTGCAATAAGATAACCTCATTCTTTCAAAATCCACTGAGTATCAGTCCAATCTGCTCAATCCTTCCTCTTTAAAACAGTCTGTTATGGACCAGACCAAACCCCTTGCAAGTACACCAATGAGATAGCCTAGACCCAACTTGTATTTTATTTAAAGACATGTATAAGATGCTGTGTTATAAATACTAATTCGATTGGTTACGCTACTCAGCGTTATTGTTACCGCCAGTTAAAATACAAACAAAAGAAAGAATAATTGGTGTAACATTAACACTATAGGAAAACTTAACAGATTATTTAACTGCTAAACGCATCTGTTCCAATGTCGTAACATTCCATAAACATACTGCTGGCAAAGGCAAAGTTAGTAAAACAGATTTTCTGCTGCCAGAATTGTACGTGAGACAGAGAACCCAAGCTTTTAGCTGTAACAGAGAGAGAGGTAGCAGTTTCTGAAAGCTAAACTGAAATTCTGGTTCTGTAGGAGCCTGACTCCACCCATTCATGCTGCTTCTAGTGTTTAAATTTTAAAAAAAAAAAAAATACCCAAGCCCCACAAGCTGTTTACTTTATTGGCTCGGCACAGACCACTCGGACCACTGTCTCAACGTCTCTTTGTTCAAAAATCCAGGACAAAAAACACCTCTTAAAACCATAGTATCATCTCAAGCCCTTCAGAAATCAACTCTGTCAACCTTCTCTAAATTGGCTCCAGTGCAATTATGTCCCTCCTGAAATAAGGGGACAAAATCTGTTGCCAGTACTCTAATTGTGGTCTCACCAATTCCATTTACTATATTAACCAGATTTCCCTACTTTTAAAGTCCAGTCCCTTGCACTACAGTGTAACATTCTATTTGCCTTCTTAATTACTTCACTTGCCTGCAAACCTTTTGACAGTCATTTAAATGATGAAGTTTGAAGCTACAGTAAAAGGAGAATCAATTCCGAAGTGAGGTTATCCCTTACTAAACCTTCTGAAATGGAAGCACGTATTTCCCACATTGTAGTTGGGGTTGACTGAGTCTGGTAAATGGTGTTGAGAATGTCAAGAGAGCATGTAGGCATCATCCTTGGGTAACTCCAGCCCGTGAGTTGATGGTAATTGACTTACTGGATGGCTAAGTAGGAAACTGAAACTTGAGAGTGGGGCACTGGAAGGATTCCTGGTGATGAAATCAGCAAGATCCTGGGATATGAGATAACAAGATGTAGAGCTGGATGAATACAGCAGGCCAAGCAGCAAGAGAGGAGCAGGAAGGCTGATGTTTCGGGCCTAGACCCTTCTTCAGAAAATTCTTTAGTCCTTTGCAGGTCTGGGAGAAGGAGGCTCTGAGCTGGGGTAGGCTGTAGTGCTAGGAGATACCAGCGCATTGCTGCGAGTGTGTGTTTCAGGAGTCGCAAGGAGAAACACTTCTGAAGGATCTCAATGTTCTGAATGTAGACATTGTCACGGTTGGGGCCAAATTGGGAAGGTCTGAATGTGGACTGTAGACCACTGGGGATGATCTGGTTCCGATGGCAGGTACTAAGAAAGGTGATGTGGCTGTAGTACCTGGTTTGCTTCAGGACGTGGTCGAGCAGTTTCAAGGCTGAGGAGATTACGAGAAAGTTGCAGTGGGAGAGCTTCAAAATCTCCCCTCCCTCTGCCGCATCCCAAAACCAGCCCAGCTCGTCCCCGCCTCCCTAACCTGTCCTTCCTCCCACCTATCCC